GAACCAGCATGAGATGGATGTGATAAAGGAGGGGGTGAAGGAGGAGGAGATGGTTTGGGTTGCAGCAGGGGGGGCTGAGGAGTAATCAGCTTGGCGGCTGCCAGTTGAGCTGTCAAGTTCCGGATGGAATCCAGGATCTTGGACTGCTGAGCTGACAGCTCGTCAACCCGACACTCCAGTCGCACGAAGCGATCATCCCAGTTCATGAACTGGGAGCTAGTGATCTTGTGTTCCAACAGGATCATCTCTGCCATATGCTAGTCGATCTGGGAACAACGATCATCTGTGCGCGCTTTGTCTAGCTGCTGCAACAAATATTCTCTTCTGGAATGATCTATTGCAGCCTCTAGCTCAGCTGCCTCCTCCTGTTCCACTTCTGCAAGTCTGGCCTGTTGCTGCCACAACTGTTCTTCCAGCTCCTTCAACCGTTGAGTAGCAGTGAGAGGTGGAGGAGGAGGAGTGGAGGTTGAAGGTTGTTCACCTTCCACCTTCATCACCACTTCCACCTGTGGCTGCTGCTGAGCCTCCTGATCAGACATTTTCCCGGTTCCAAAATAAAATCAAAATTAAAACAAACAGCAGACAGAGTGTGCAGTGATACTTAGATTCCCTCAGACACCCTGGAATCGCTGCAATATCTCAACACTAGAGTAGGTGGGTGTAGAGGCAATCAGCGATTTGGGGTTGGAAGGGTGTCTCTGGGTCAGGTGTTAGACAGACTGTAAGTCGGCAAAATCAAACACACGATTTCCTTTTACTGACCGTGGACCACACTAGAGTTAGTAGGGTCACCCCACGACTCTTCTAGAGACCCACTAGATTTCCAATACCCACTAGAAAACAAAAGTAGTCAGCGGGAATGATAGAACATGGTTAGTGCAGACAAGAGAGATCAACCACAACAAGCGATTCAGACAGATACCCTGTATCCTGACTCAGACTCAAATTTAGACCCTGATGACTCTGGCAGCCATACCCTAGGGTATGGCGAAGTACAGTTTTCACTGTATCCAGTGAAATACTGCAAATCCAACTTTGCGATTCTACAGTATGGACTATTTTTGGATTGCGATTCATTGGGGACTGACAGAACTGAATTCAGACGGGCAGAATTGAAGTTATGACCGACCCTAGGTAGCACAGGCTAAAAATAGACCCAGCGCAAAACTGCAATTTCCAGTATCACTACCTTTCCAGCGCAGAATTCACAGTTTGAGCATCCTAGAATAATCGCAATGCAGTATAGCAGTCATAGAACAATTTTGGATCAGAAAGAGTCAACAGAAGGGGAGAAATGAGCAGAGAGAGGTAGGGGAGAGATGGCTATGGCTGTCATGCAGTCTGCAATTTTCACTTTCAGTCACTGACAGACGTATAGACCATTATAATTCACTAAACTAATACTATCTGGATCGCAATACAGGTAGGTGCATGGAACGGACTCACTTTCAGAGAATCTTGCAGGTGATGATGAAGATGTGGCTATGGCAGGTAATTTCTTCCAGATATTCCTCCTGATAATCCCACGCACAGAAATGTTTCAAACTTGTTGATCCTCCTTAGGATCCCGTAGCGCTGCACCCCCTCAACCCAGATACCCTGTATCTGCTCCTGTGGCGCCTAGTATGCCAACACCACAATCTCTCGCCACAGTGCCTGGTAGCCGCTGATGCTAAAAATAGCCCCAGATGGGGTTATTCCTCCTGGAGATTGATATAGTGTGTCAATCTTCCTCAGCGCTACCCAGGGATGATGCCGCTCAAGGTTCCCTGATGTCCTCAGGGGTAATCCGCCACTCCGGGGTAATTCGCAATACTAACCTCAGGGTTGGCTATGGCAAATTAGCCCTGTACTCCCCACTTCTTGACAAGCGCCCTGACAGGCTCAGTGCACTTGCTCAGTGCCGCCACTGAACACTTGAATCCACTGCTGAAAGTCTTCTTCCCTGCTGACTCAGTACTGGGGAAGATGAACCGCCATGAAACTCTCTCCAGTATATCGCCAGATGAAGAAGATGCCTTAGTGCGCTCAACCCTCAGCGTTCCAAATCCAATCCCGCTCCGATACCAACTGTTATGAACTTGGTTGTCTGACAAATTTTATCGCCACTCACACACAGACAGTCTCACACATGCCCATACATGCATAAGAGAAGGGGAGAGAGGAGACAGAGTCCAAACTGCACACAGGTGAAAATAAGCAGCSGAAGACAATCATGCACAGATGGGGAGAAGACACTCAGTGTTTCTCACTCTCTGACACAACTCCCAACAACCAATCACAAGAAAGAACSTGCGAAGATCACAATTGGAAATCACACTGATGATGAACCACTCAAAACAACTATCGTAACAGAGTTTGTTCCAGTATCTCTCCACTCTCAGAACTCACACCCCACTCACTATCCTACACCCAGTTAGTAGCGCCACATTAGAACAACCTCCCAGAGGCCAGTGCCAACCACCCTGATGAAGAACAGGTCCTGCGATGAAGTCTTCGGTGCCGATGGACAACTCCCTACACAGCTACTACTAGCCTTCTAATTGACAATGCAACTGTTGACGTCAGCAGCACCCGGAAGTACTTGAAGATGTCGCCCATGCAGAACCATCGCCAATACCAGGTATGTGCCCTCACATCATCATCATCATCATCCTCTCTGCCCCTTCACTCTCTCCCACGTCTCCCTTTGTTGTACACCCGAAGACCACCCCTGCGCCTCACTGTATGTTCAAGCCCACAGCCAGCTATGGAGGCTGGGCTATGGCGCTGCCCTCAGCAGCACCCTTCTTCACCACACGACCACACGTGCGCAGCCTCTTGCTCCAATGCCAGCAGCCAGCACACGAGCTATCGCTCCAGCAGCGTTGCCGCCAGCCAGCAAGTGCCCGAATGCTCTCGCCAGGCAGCGAGCTCTTTTCTATATGGAAAGAGCCTGCCTCGTTCGGCAGCCTGGCTGGACTGGCCTGGGCCCAGAAGCTTCTGGTAGGTCCCAGGATGCTGGGCCTCTGGTACAGCGACTGGGCCTCATTCGGTTGAGCCTCCCAACTGTCTGTGTATGAGGCTGCGAATCTGGCCCAGCGCCTGAGCTTTTGGAAAGGCGTAGAAGGCCTGGGAATTTCCACGCTGCTCGGCCTTTGTTTCCCTTCAACCAACTGCCGCGACAAAACTGCCTGGACCCCCAAATGCGAAATTGACAACCAAGGGCCTCTCGTGATTTGTTAGGCCCGCCTTCACTTAGGGCGGGCACATATGCTGCAAGGGGCCCCTTAGGCCTGCCGAGGACCCATATCCTCGCATTGTTATTATTATTATTATTTTATTATTATTATTATTTTATTATTTTATTTTTTATTTTTTTTTGTGTGTGTGTGTGTGTGTGTGTGAGAGAGAGAGAGAGAGAGAGAGAGAGAGAGAGAGAGAGAAGGGTTGGGGGAAGTCGGCTGCAGCCGGGGGAGGTTAAAGGCTTGTGCAGGCTGTTTTGCCTTTTTCTTTTTTGTTCTTTTTTGTTTGGTGTTTTGTCATGTTCTCTATACACAACTCCAGCCACGTGGCGCAATCGG